AATCACTACAGGAAAATCACTTATTACCGGCGGAATTTTCCGGCGGCTTTCCGGCGGTCAAATTTCCGGCGGCTTTCCGACGGCTTTCCAGCGGTTTTTGACGGCTTAAAATTTCCGGCGGCGTTCCGGCGGCTTTCCGGCGGTGTTCCGGCGGCTAATTTCCCCGCGAAATTTTGCGACGGCTAATTTCCCGCAAAATAATCCCGCGGAATTTTCCGGCGGCTTTCCGGCGGCTTTCCGGCGGTGTTCCGGCGGCTAATTTCCCCGCGAAATTTTGCAACGGCTAATTTCCCGCAAAATAATCCCGCGGAATTTTCCGGCGGCTTTCCGACGGCTTTCCGACGGCGTACCGGCGGCTTTACATAACTAGTTTATTTTAATAATCAATTAAAATAAAAATTTAAATTAATAATGTTTAATTATAATATTCAGAATTTTTTAATATAAATAAAAAAATACTTAGTTTTAACAGTTTTGCAGAAACGGCGCATTGGTCAGGGGGCGGGCAGCGGGAGAGGAGGTCCACGGTTCGAAACTCAGCGAAGACAGCGCGGGAGCGGGCTCGTTGGCGCACTCGGGCTCGCCTGGCTCACGCGAGCGCGGTCCGACGCGGTCTGGTCCGGCGCGACTCAAAGCCTGGCGCGACCGCCCGCCGGAGCGGGTTGCTGGCGTGCCGCCGGAGCCGCCGGGGAGCGGTTTCAGCGGGAGCGGCCGGTTCTGTTTTTTTTTTTTTTTTTAATTTCCACCGGCGGTTTTTGACCGCCGGCAAACCGCCGGATTTTTTTGCCGCCGGAAAACGCCGTCGGAAAGTATTTTCCTACGCCGTTTTTTCCGGCGGCTCGAAAGCCGCCGGAAAACCGCCGGAAAATTAAAAAACCGCCGGAAATTGCTCAAATTCCGCCGGAAAAAGCCGCCGGAAGTGGGTGATTTTCCTGTAGTGAATCTCCTTATTAAATTGCCCGACTATTCATATCTAGTAGTTACAAGATTTTTTTCTCTAACGACTCAATTTTTTCCTTCATTACTTTGTGTTAAATAATAAAGAAAAATTCTACATTACTCAAGATCTTTTGCAAATATTTCATTTCAGGTTCATTAATCAAGAATGTACTCCAACAATTTGGATGCTAGCAGCAGTTTCAAAATCAAACAATGGATTCCAGAGGGTACCATACGGGTGCGTGGAAGCTTATCTTATCCTGTCGATGAGGACCTTGAAGCTAGGGTATCATCAAATGAACTATTCATGTGTATTATCCATACTTGGGATGAAGATGAAGATTTCTTACTGTGGCACTTACACGAAGATACGATGAAAGAGAAGGAATATAGAGATAACCATGCACGTCGAGAGTTGGATTGGAAATATATACATGAAGGCTTCCCCATTTTTAAGAGGCACATTATGGCAAAAGATTTCCTAAAAGGTCGAATTCTAGAACTTTGTCGTGCTAAAAACGGTGACATTGAACCCGGTTTGGGAAGGTCTATGATGGATATAGACAATTATATTTTATACTATGACTGGAAGCCTCTCCATGATAAGCACATATTAGATTCTTATAAATAATTAATGCAAACTTCTAAACATGCTAAAGCAAAGGAATTTCTTAATGGAGAAGATTGGCAGCAAATACAACAACAATTTCAGATCGACTTCAAGTGTTGTCCTACACAAACACAGCTGCAAACTCATCTACGATATCTATTAAATAATATGAAGTAGTACCTTCAGAAAAATCAAAATAATATGTTCAGCACTACTCCTATTACCGTGCCTTGAAAATGTACTTTATAGTGTTAAGCATTTTTTAAAATGTACTTCTTCTTGTTATGTTGATACTTAATATCTATGTTTATTGTTGGTACTCAACTTATAATTTATTTTATTAATTGGACTCTTGCTCTTCAAATCATTCTTTAAAAAAAAAATTATTTGATATTAAATTTCTAATGAATACTCAAATTGTATTTTCTAAATATTCAGCATATATCATGTCATCATCATCAAGGACCTCATCAATCAAGCGCTCACCATCAAGGGATTTCATACATATTATTCCAAGAAAGAAGTTGATCTATGATGATACAATTCGATTGACAAACTCTATGTCATATCCCATGGATGAATTCTTGGAGGAGAAAATAAGAGCGAATGAAATTTTTCGATGTTGTTTACATGAATGATCTTGGTATGAGGATGATAATTTATGGGACGTATATTATGAAGTTATCAAAACTCGTTATCCAATGTATGTGGATGGAGAAACAATTACTGATATGGGTTGGAAATTTATGCGACAAAGATTTAGGGATCATAATGGTCATTTTGCACATATAATTAGTATTCTTAGAACAAGAATTGGTGAAATCACACGAACAAAAGATGGTTCTATCGTGGTCAATATTGAGAATCCAATAGCTGGTGTGCAACATTGTATTATTTACAAAAGTTGGCATACTAATCAAGATGCATTTCTATCAGAAAAATATCAAGAGCTGAATATTATAGATGGTAAAAAACAGAAAGAGTTTTTAAATAACAAAGATTGGCAAATCATCCAAAAGCAGTTCACAGAAAAATTCTTACGCTGTCCAACTTTAACCCAGCTGCAAGCACGTATGCGCATAGTACTGAGCCACATGTAATACTAATTTTTTCGATGTTGCTTTCGATCATTATCGTATGTATTAACATGAACTTGTGTTAAATGCTTCTCGCACTATTCTGCTACAGGATGCCATCTTCGGTAGAGAAAACAATGGGTTATATTGGTTGTTGTATTGTCCACGATCACCTCAATCGATATTTTATTTATAAGAAATTTTAATTTATATAATTTAAAACTTATTTATTCTAATTTGCTCACATAAATATTACCCTAATTTACTCTAATTTTTTATTTCATTGAAAATAAGGTATTTCAAGTGATGTTATTTATCCAAAAACACAATATTTAAACTTTAATTTCTTAAAAATTATTAAATAAAAAATAAACTCTCTCTCCGTCCACCTTTATTATTTCTCAGGTTAATAAATTATAAATAATTTAAATCTAATTTAACTTTAAACATTTTAATATATAATCAAACTAATATTTCATTAAATATTTCAATTAGGATATAACTAGATATTACTATATTTTTTTAGATATATGATTATTACTTTTGATTCATTCATAAAATATTTTAAAAAAACTAATATATTAAATATTGGGAAAAGCATTTGAGAAATCGAGCTGAATAGTGGGAAAACTTTGCTGAAAACTTTGCCCAATCATATTGACAAATCGACCTGAACACTGGGAATAGCATGTTAAACGGACGGCAGAAGTGGATTCACGCAATACGCTGAATCATTCAGCGCAATCCACAGAATGCGCTTAAGCAATCGCCGCATTCAAAGAATGCGCCGAAAGGTTGTGCGCATTCTTTGAATGCGCCATTCATAAGTGCGTATTCGATGTATGCGCCGAATACTAAGGCGTATTGGCTTGTTTTCAAATTGTTTTCCAAACACGCTGCTTCCGCTAAATGGGGAAAGAAACCTGCTCCTTCTCAAAATTTGGCCTTTAAGAATTGTGAAATAGAGAGAGAGAGAGAGAGAGAGAGATGGCGAGAATTGAGGCAGGAGAATAAAAGATATAATAAAATAAAAGATATAATGGAGAGGAAATTTTAATAAAAGATTTAATAGAATATTTCTAATTACTTAGATTAGTAAAAATAAAAAAAAAAAACTGATAAATCTTAAAATGTTAAATTATTAAAAATAAATTATAAAATTAGTAGGCTAAATATTATTTTTTTTAACTCTAATTGAGCTCTACTCGAGCTTCTTAGTTGAGCTCTAATCGAGTTCTAAGCGATACTCTTCGTGAACATATTTGAACCGAAGAACTTGTTGTTCAAGCTCGTTCATTTAGTTATCGAGTATTTATCAAGTGTGTTCAAACTCATTTGTTTACATTATCAAACAAATAAGAACGAGCCATTATCGAGCCGAGTCACGAGCAGCTCGTCGAACGCTCGGTTCATTTGTAGCCCTACTATACATGAACTTTCTTTTTCTTTTAAAAATATTTTTTGATAAAATTATTCATAAATTTTAATTGAAAATTTAGAATTAGTATAATTTACTGCTTGCTGATATGTATCAATTTATTTTTTAAAATTAAATCTCCATCAAATATATACTATTAAAAAAAGAAAATTTAATTATCCTACAAATAAATATATATTGACAGAGAGAAGTCGAGAGAGAGAGAGAGGCCTATAGATTAAGCGAATATAATATTAAAATTAGTAGAAAACATAAAAGCTTGCTTTTTTTACTATTTTCGAAAATAATTTTTTGAAATTAAAAGTTTTAATTTATTACTATTTTTTAAAATGATATTTTAGTATAAATATTTTTTAAGTAAAAAAGCTATTTCATTCATAGAGAGAAAAAGAGAGCGTATGAAATGAAAGACGAAAAGGTTTGAAAAATTATTCTAAATTTTAAAAAAAGAAAATATATTATGATAAAAAAAAATAAAGTAGTTATTTTGTGAGCTTTCATAATCATTGAAAAATATATATTTTTTAAAAACATTAGCATTCCTTTTGATAAAAAAATTTATTTTGGTTGTGAGCTTATGCTTCAACTAAGAGGTCCTGGATTTGAGTCTTTATGTATGCGTGGTGTGTGTGAGTTTGTCTTAATTGGCCTAAATGTCCAAAAAAAAAAAAAAAAAAATTCATTAACTAAGCTTCTTTTACTTAATCAGGATTTAAACCTGCTTCGTTTATATTAATAAGAAAAGGACTATTCACTTAGGGGCCGTTTGATTGCAGGGGTGTATTAAGGGACCTATTTGTGCGAATTAGAAACCCCTCAATATAATTCATCGGAAGAAATCCTTGGCGTTGCTGTTCGGCTTCATTGCTTTGCAGGAGGTGGAAGATTGCACGAGCGTCTCCATTCCTACTCCGAACTGTCCGACCGACTGTAAGATCTTCTCTCTCTCTCTCTCTCTCTCTCTCTCTCTCTCTCTCTCCGTATTCAATGTCTGGTTATATAACGAGGAAGATAGGGAAAGAGGATTATTACCCTGGCCGGACCCTTGCCGCTCTGGACGACCTGCACCTCTCCGGCCTCAACCCCGCTCACTTCCTCACCCTACTCCGCTCCACTGTTAAATCCATCCGTTCATTCGTCAAAATCATGGTCCGTGAAATGAAATCCGCCGGATGGGATCTCTCTGCCGCCGCCGGCGTAATCCAGACTTATCTCCGACGCCAACGAAATAGCAATCACAACATCTTCGCATTCCAATCTTATGTCTCGCGAATAATGTTCTCCAATTTCCAGCGCCAAGATTTCGGTTTAGGCGGTCCGGTGCGCGACCGCCATAGCTTCTTTGCGGAGTTCACAGAGCTCAAATTCTTCAAGCAAAAGAAGTGTTTTGAGAGAAGATCCCAGTTTGGGAAGTTTTTTAGGGGGAAGTATTTGGGGCTGGTGCATCCGAAGATGGAAGCTTCGTTCTTTGGCAATATCGAGCAACGGAAGCTTGTGAGCTCCGTCCGGGTATCGCCGGAGACGGATTTCTTTGAGCGATTTGCCGAGATGGCAAGGCGGGGTTGGCTTCTTCACTGCTTGTTCTTTTCTTTTAAGGAAGAGGATAAAGGAGTCATTTTTCAGGCGAGGAGGGGGAGCCGGTTCTCGGACTTGTATATGGAGAGCGTGGCGGAGGAGGAGGCGGAGCAGGGTGGCGTTGATTGTCGGCCGGAGGTGGGTTTTACGGTGTTGCCGGGGTTTGGTGATACAGAGCAGGGTCTATCTAGTGTACATCGACAGACGATGAAGCCAAGTGGATGGTCATGATGTCTCGGTAGGGGATTGTGGGCCCAAGTAGGTTGATGTACTTGCGGGCCCCACTTGGCGATTTACTTTATTCTGAATATGCCTAATCAAGCAAGAAAAATCTACATTTATTCAAAATACATTACAATTATTTTACATTGTATTTATTTTGCGCTGTATTTCTTTTCGAGACAAACAAACAGCCCCTTAATACCCTTGTTCTTCACGCGGCTTTCCTAGTTAGCTTAGGTCGCGGACTCGCTGAAGCCAAAGGGGCGAAGGGCAGAAGTCGGAAGGGTTTCACGCGCAAGGATTCAGCAGTTCAGACTAAAAGCTTTCTTCTAATCTCGTTGGATCGCCGAAAGCCTACCCTTCACCTTCAGCGGCTTGCGACGGGTCGGCGACAATCTCAGGTATGCTAACATTTTTCTATCTCTCCGCTTTTCGGTGTTTTCTTTCCGTTTAAATGTTTAATCCATTTTTTTTAATGACTTGCACAAATTTTCGCTGATTTCAGACACTTTTTTCTGATTTCAGCAGCCTGCAGCTACTCGCTCTCCGAACAAATCAAACTGATCCGGTCATCCAGGGTTTCTTCTTTGGACGGGAGGTGAGTTTTCAGCTTTTTCGTTCCTCAAAGGAAATAATATTTAGTTTTCTTTCCTTTTTTTTGTTACGGTTATTCTATCTTATGCCATTATGTTTGTTTGAAGTTTTTAGTAGTTTGTTAGTAAATTTTTAGTAGTTATTTGCAAGCTTTTATGTTCTTCTTCCACAAATTTAGACATCTTTCCTTCTCCTCGGAAAGAACTGCAAACCATTTTTCCCTATTTGCTTCTCAAATTAAAACCCTAAGAAGGATAGTTTAGTAGTTTTACAGAAAAAAAAAGTGAGCTTCTACAAATTTACTGTTAAAAACTGAGAAGTGAGGCATAATAGCTTCCAGTCAATTCGGTTTAATGTCTATGTTCCAAAACAGATATAAGAACATATAGCAGCGGCTGCCAACTAATTGATTAATTAACTGCACATAGGCACTAATGGTAGTTGTTGGTCCGAATCTATATTCCCATTTAAGACTAATATCTCATTTTAATTGTGATTAACACCTAACAATTCCCTAAACAATGTGATTAAAAGACGTCTCTCTCCGTAGCTCTTTATCCTAATCATAAAGAGAATTTCTTTTTTTTTTTTGAAATTGGGCCACTTGGGAAAGCATGGGTCCGCCCCTTATTTAATCTTAGGCCTTAAAAATAGAAAATGATAATTAGAATAAATCGATTGTACCTTGACGATTGTCATGACATGATTTATGCTGATAATTCATATCTTTTCTTCTATAATTCGAGCGTTTGTCAATGGCTATGTATGTGATGCAGGATGGAATTAGTAGTTCTCCGTTTATTGGGTGATTAGGGTATTCTTTTGGCTTATATGCATCCTTCGATCAAGCATGAGTGAAGTTCTAGGGCACCGATCAATGGGTTGTCATGGAGCAGGGAAATAAGTTGGGAGCTTTCTTTTGTCTTGTTATTAGCGTGAGGTATTGCTTTACGCGTACACCCAATCAAAATCGTCTATGCCGGGCATGATCGATTCACTTATGTTTTTGGAGTATGGCGAACTCGTTGGTATACTCGCTCAGGAATGAACATGAATGAAGACTATGCTCGCTCGTTGATTTTTCACCTTCGTGGCTTCAATCTTCAAGGATAGTTGTTTGACAAGGAAGAGGGAGCCGGGAGGGGAAAGTTGGGAGCCAGGAGGGGAGAGTTGCTTGCGATTCAGGAATTCACGCATGAATAGGATCGGCTAGGGAAAAAGGGAAGAATATGAGATGTGTGGGTGATGTACAGCATTGTTGCTTAGCGTCTTCTAGAAGAGCAACTTACCTTCAATACGCACCAATTCTTTTATAGTGTTGAAGCTCCACTATCTTACTGTTATATTTAATATCTTAATACTTTTTATACCTTTTACTTGTTTAGCTTTTATAAGTATAGCTGAAAGGAAGTAGCATATACTCAACGGAACCCTGTAGAGAGGCATCTTCTTGGTTTTCTTATCAATACAAAAATACGTTTTCTGGTTTCGTATCTTGTTTTTCCTATGTTTCTCCTTCTTGCAGGTTCGTCTACACCATAAATTGGTATCAGAGCTACAACCCAAGATGGTGGAGGGAAGCAAACGGGTGGGCATCGGTGAAGAACACAACCTTGAAGCCCTATAAGCGGAGCACGCCAGTTTGGAGAGACAAATCGAAGCTCTCTTGGCAGATTTCAACCATTTTTTCGGTGAGATGTGGCGTGAGCTACGACAGATTAACGCCCGTCTGGATAGGAACCAAACCGCCCGGACAGTGCTACCGGCAACCATACCGGCTGCGACAGTGAGACGTAGGTTCTGAGCAGACAGAGAGTGCGAACAACTGATTCAAGACACATCGGATTCCGAAGGAGAGCTGGATCGATTCAATACTCTGGAAGTGTCGGATTCGGATAATGAGATGGGAGTAATTCGCAGGCGACGTCCGACCGAGCGAGATCGACCTCACAGTGACTTTCGAGTCAAATTAGATATATTGTTCTTTGATTGAAAACTTCATATTGAAGATTATTTGGATTGAGAGAGGGCTGTTGAAACCTTTTTTGTGTACATGGAGATTGATCCAAAAAAACAGGTAAAGTATGTGGCGTGCAGGCTAAAGGGCGGCGCTAGTGCGTGGTGGCAGCAAGTTATCCCGTCCCGGAGGCGAGAAGGCAAGGGAGTAGTTCGGAGTTGGTTTAGAATGAAGCAATTGTTACGGGGCCATTTTTTGCCAATTGATTACGAGCAAATATTATATGTGCAATATCAACACTGCTCTCAGGGCTTGAGGACCGTGAATGACTGCACAGAGGAGTTTTATAGGCTCAGTGCTAGGAATAATTTGAATGAATCAGCTAATAAAATTGTAGCAAGATACATTCGGGTCTTGAAAGTTGCAATCCAAGATAAGCTAGAACTAAATGCGATCTGGTCAATCTCGCAAGCAGTTAATTATGCTCTTAAAGCTGAAATGCAACTAATCGTTATCAACACAGCAAATCGAGCCGGCGTGGATTTGAGATTTCCACTGAAAACAACAAGCAGCCATCTCAAGCTATGGCCAACTCTTCCAAACAGTTGACCACGCTACCTTCAGGCTTCAGCAAGTCAGCCCACTATTGCTGGCCAAAGGGTAAATGAACAAAAGATGTATCCGAAGGGCAAGCTACCACAGAAGGAAAATTCCTATGCCAAGCCTTCTAATATTAAATGCTTTAGATGTTTCCAGTATGGACATAAATCCAATGAATGTCCGACCCGTCCTCAATTACAAATGGTGGATGCCGAAGCCGAAGAAGAAGCTGATGCAACTATTGGTGGCCAAGAAGATGAATTAGAGGACGTTGGAGGAGATGAGGGAGAGCCTCTAATGTGTTTTATAAAAACTGTTGATAGCTCCGCGGCAGCCAACTCATTCCCAACAAAATGCCTTGTTTAAAACAAAATGCACCATTCTCGGCAAGGTTTTTGATTTGCTAATCAACAGTGGGTGCACAGAAAACATTATCTACCGTGCTGTGGTTCAAGCTTTGCAGCTAAAGACAACAAGAAATTCGAATCCATACAAGATAAGTTGGGTAAAATGCGGAATGAAGATCTCAGTGATGGACATGTGCAGAGTAACATTTTTAATTTGGCGACATTATGCAAGTGAAATACTGTGTGATGTAGTAGAGATGGATGTTTGTCACTTAATCTTAGGAAGACCTTGGCAGTTCGATGTGGGAGCTATTTATAATGGCCGAACTAATACATACTCCTTTGATTGGAAAGGAAAAAGGCTAAGGTTGCTACCCTGCTCGCCGGACCGGGAGCTAGCCTCACCAAATTCGAAAACAGCTCTGTTTGCTGTTTCTGGAACAACATTACTCAATGCTTGGTGAGAGTCATCTTGCATTATGGCATTACTTATACAAGAATCAAGTTCTGTAGCAGAAGTGGATTGCTTGCCAAATGAAATTAGCTCATTACTCAAGCAATATGAAGATGTTTGCCCAGCAGACTTTCCAGCCGAGCTACCCCCAATGCGAACTATCCAGCATCAAATTGAGCTAACATCGGGAGCTTCACTTCATAATTTAGCTCATTACAAGATGAGCCCCAATGAACATAAGATATTGCAACAAATTATAGATGGACTCATGGAAAAGCAACTAATCCAACCAAGTTTGAGCCCTTGCGCCGTACCAGTATTATTTATGCCCAAAAAAGATGGTAGCTGGAGAATGTGTATGGATAGCAGGTCCATAAATAAAATTACAGTAAAATTTCGATTTCCTATGCCGCGGATGGAGGGCATGCTGGACAAGCTTGCCGGAGCTAATATCTTTTCTAAATTAGACCTGTGTAGTGGATATCACCAAATAAGGACACGTCCCGGAGACGATTGGAAGATGGTTTTCAAGACTTGTCATGGATTGCATGAGTGGAAAGTCATGCCGTTTGGATTATGCAATGCGCCAATAACTTTCATGCGACTGTTGAATGAAGTGTTAAAACCATTTCTCAATGAGTGTTGTGTTGTGTATTTCGATGACATACTAGTGTATAACACCACCGAGGATGAGCACCTACAACACCTAGCAAATCTATTTGAAACATTGAGACAGAACAAGCTTTTCCTGAACACTCACAAATGTGTATTTGCAACAAAGCAAGTCTCGTTCCTCGGGTATATTATCTCAGCTGCTGGAGTTAGTGTGGATCCAAAAAAGGTAGATGCTATAGTTGAATGGCTGACGCCCAAATCTCTGTTTGACATTCGTTGTTTTCACGGACTGGCTAATTTTTATAGACGTTTCATTAAAAGTTTTAGTATCATTATGGCTCCCATCTCAGATATATTAAAATTAGCCAAATTCACCTGGTCCGTTTAGCAGCAAAAGAGTTTTGAAGCTATCAAGGTTGCATTATCCACAGCTCCCGTTTTGGCTTTATCAGACTTTGATAAACCGTTTACAGTGGATACAGATGCCTCAACCGTGGGGATCGGTGCCGTCTTGTCTCAAGATACCAAACCTATGGAATTTTTTAGCGAGAAATTGTGCCCATCCAGGTAGAGGTGGATTGTATATGAGCAAGAACTTTATACAGTTATTAGAGCATTAAAACAATGGGAGCATTATTTGTTACATCAGGATTTTGTTCTTTATAGTGATCGCAAAGCTCTCCAATATATCAATACACAAAAGAACATAAATAGAATGCATGCTCGCTGGATCATAATTTTACAGAA